TAACGGTGTACCTAGCATTAAATTATTGATATAATGTGTTGTTTCGATATTACAGTTTAGAATATAGTGATATTGACACACGTTATACGAAATGGCAACTAAATAGAACTAAATAAAACATTCTTTTTTCAGGTGCAAACCGCCAAAGAAATATATGGTAGATAATTACCTAAGCAGAACAATATAGACAAAGTATTACGTAATCTTCCCAGCCATTTTATTTTTAACTCCATTGAACTTATTTGTGACCTTTCTAAGCAATATAATAATAAACATATTGGCAGAGAGGGATTTTTTAATAGATTGGAAATTATTTTTATTATAATTAGCCCTAATAGCGATATCGATGACTGCGATTCAAATACTTGCGATCTGGATTAGGAGAAATAAAAGAATGTTATAGGAATAATGAAGATTAGTAGATGAATAATTGTTTTTTTATGAGAAAATAGTGTAATTAAAAAAAAAAACATTGTCTAATATTTAAAACAATAAACAGTTTGATATATTTCTTATATATCTGTATTTTTATTTAATTTATTCCAAGATATCAAAAAAATATTTGACTGAGAATAACATTTTTCAAATGTCTTTTGAAGCTGATAGAATGGAGAATCTTGATGTTTGAGTGATGAATCTATTGTTCATACATGTTTCGATAACTTTAGAGTTGAAAAGAAGTAGCGATATCTGTTTATTTTTTAAGCATTTCTGGCTATCTTGAATACTTGAGCTACAGAACCGTTACTGAAAGTGAGATTTACTAAAGCACCTACTCAAATATTTTAACAACTTCCTTCTTGTATTCAAATATTTTAGCATTTTCAAACTTTAATTCTTTAAGTATAGGTATCTACTGATATTATGAATCCTCCACATGCCTTTGTAGTTTTCATTTTTTCAATGACCTCTTTAATTTTATGGGGTGTTGTGGTTTATAACTTAAATGTAGTTCTGTTAAATAACTTTCTTGGTGAAATTAAATTAGTTTTAGATATTTTCTGTGCTAATTCTAAACCAATTTTGATCCATCTGCAATATACTACCTTACAGTTTTATTTTCCATGACTTGCATAATATGTTTAAAGCTGTTTTGTTCAGATGTTTATTATTCATAAAGGAATTCAATATTTTCCGTTAGTTATATACATTTAAAACTAATTGTTCCTACTATATAGTAACATAACAAATACATAACCTTACAATTTTAAAAAATTCTAAATTCCTCAACTATTCTGACGATTAGGCAACACTGCAAGGCCGTGACGTCATAAATGATCTCTGACGTGCATCGGGATTTGTATTAAAAATACTATATGCCGCGTTTGAGAATCCACATCGGATGCATCTGAGATGTAAAAAATCTTTGATCACGTGATTCAGTATACGTAAATGTAATGGGACAGATGTGTCCGATGTGGATAAAAAAACGCTCGAGATGTAAAAAATGCATCCGATGTGGATTCTCAAACGCAGCATATACTAGTACATTATATTAGGGATGGGCAAGTGAAAAAAAATATCGATATATATCGAATCGATATTTTTAAGCTGTATCGATTATTATCAAGTAAAAAATATCGATATATTGATATATCGACATTTTTGTAAAAGCGTGTTTGGTGACCTAAAAGTGATACCAAAACATTCAATTCACAAATAATGAATGCACATGTAGAAAACAAGTATTTATTTTATTTAATGAAACAATTTTAATCAAATCAAAAAAGTCCACCTCATTGGAGATACACGGAAAAAAATGTGACTAAAAAATTTTACTACAATATTGTAGTAATAGACTTGTAGAAAAATACTTAACAATTTGTAGAAAATTTTACTACAATTTATAGTTAAAAACTATTCATTATTGTAGCAATTGAATTGTCGAATAAAATGCTACAACAATAGGAAAGAAGTCCACAATGTTTATTATATTTTACTATTGTTTGTAGAAGTAGAAATTTATTACAATTATCGTAATTACTACTGCTAACTTCTGTAAAAATTTGAACAAATATTAATAATTATCTCTACAAAAAATAGTAATTTTCTCTACAAAAAATAGTAATACTTTACATCCCTTCTTCAAAAATATTCTATAATATTGTAGAAATTCTAAGTCATGTGAACAAAACAGAATTCTGCTATTGGCCAACGTTTTCTGACGTCGATCATAAACGGCCAGACAGCAGTAGCCGTTCGCCATGTTCACATAACAAAGCATGGTACATATACGAGTACCTATAACACATTATTATATTATAAGCACCGATGCGTTTGAGAAAATTTTAATAATAAATTTTATTGGTGGTAAGTACATTTATTATTGTTTCTGAATAATTTACCTTTAGATAACTAATTTAAATAACCTTAGTAGATTATTTAAAAAAAATAGTTGTGGCCAACGATCGAATGTTGTGCCCAACGATCGAATGTTGTGCCAAGTTAAATGATGTTTTTTGTCTTAATTGTGACATACCTACTTTCTCATTTTTGTTAGTTATCTGACTTAGTCATTTAATATCCAAATCAGTGTAAAGGTGATAAATATCCCCGTTTTAAGGGTATGAACAATTCAATTGGTATTAATTTTTATTTAATATTTTTCAGGTGCAGAAAAGCCAACTGAGACTGAGGGCGCTATTATTACTATTATTTATTACATAATGTAATTAAGAATTTGTATCTTTTATATTAAAACAATAAATTGAACATTTTATTGAGGAACATTTTTTTCTAGGTTATAATTATAATAATTATGGAATACTACTACAAATTTTATTAAAAATTACTACAATTTGTATGAATTTTTACTATTTATTGTGTAAAATTTTCGTATTTATTTTCATAAAACGCAATACATTTTTAATATAAATTCATACAATGAATAGCAAAAATTATAACAATTTGTAGAACAATTCTTATGATGCATTTGGATCTTTTTACTAAATATTGTAGATAATAACTCTACAATACATTCTCCACAAATATTTGGAAATTTTTACTACAAATTGTCCCTGTCCCTATATGTACTATTTATTGTAGAGACAAAATCTACAATTGTAGAAATTTGTTCTACAATTTTTTTTCCGTGTACCGCCTCAAGTCGCCATTGCAAATACACTTTGTCACACGTGACAGTTGACACTAAAGTCACTAGTCACCACAAACAACAGGGGGGCTATTTTCAAACTCGAGAGAATTCATTTCTCTCAAGAGAAATGTCATACGTCAACGTAAAACCGTATTTTTAGGGCTCTTAGGGCCAGTGTGAATTCACTGACTGTTTCTCTCGGTTTATTTAGAGATAATTAAAATCTTCCTAAGAATTTTAATCCTCGATGCCTTTAAAAACAACATTTCCACATTGACGTATGACATTTCTGATGAGAATCTTGAGAGAAATGAGTGCTCCCATACTTTGAAAATAGCCCCCCAGATACACATGCCGCGTTTGAATATCCACATCGGATGCATCTGAGATGTGAATTTTTTATCACGTGATAGAGAATTAGATCTGAATGTAGATGTAATAAACAAACGCTCTAGACTTTATTGGTCACGTGATAAAATGACAATGACAAGTTAGAAGTTTATACTTTTTAAATTTGTCTTTTGAGACTACAAATCAACCTAAATTTGAAATCTAAACAAAAATTAAACAAACTATAACCACTTTTATATTCATGCTTAAACAAAGGATAAATTGACAAACTTTGCTTCACAGAACACTTTCTGGCATGGAACGAACATCTCATTCACATCTCATTTCAAATCGAGATGTAAAAAATGTAATCTGGACAGGTACATCTCGGATAAACAAACGCAGATGTAGATGTATGCCGCGTTTGAGAATCCACATCGGATGCATTTTTTACATCTCGAGCGTTTTTTTATCCACATCGGACACATCTGTCCCATTACATTTACGTATACTGAATCACGTGATCAAAGATTTTTTACATCTCAGATGCATCCGATGTGGATTCTCAAACGCAGCAGTAGTAAATGTGTCCGATATGTGCTGCGTTTGAGAATCCACATCGGATGCATTTTTTACATCTCGAGCGTTTTTTCATCCGCATCTGACACATCTGTCCCATTACATTTACGTATACTGAATCACGTGATCAAAGATTTACTACATCTCAGATGCATCCGATGTGGATTCTCAAACGCGGCAATGGATAAACAAACGCTCGAGATGTAAAAAATGCATCGGATGCAATGAAGTGGAGAGGGGTAGAATGATAACTGTCAATGAAAAAGTCTGGACACTATGCACAATTTCGTTTTGCACATTTTGTAAACAAAATTCAAGGACGGTTTAACAACATTTGGTGCAACAATTATAAAATAGTGCATCGAAAAATAATTAACAAGTATAATTTAATACTAAATCGGAATAAAAGCATAAAAAATCATAAATATAAGCAAGATAACAAAGAATTGACGCCAAAAAATCTTACAACAGCCAAAACACAAACAAAAAACAGAGCTGAACATGAACATAATCGCTGAATAAAGTCGATCCTGGAATTTGTTTACAGTGCTTTAGGGCAACCTCTCCTTGTCATTTACGTGTGTAAGAGTGGAAGGCTGAATCACGCATAATTTCTACACTCGTGATGGATGCGCAGACGGTACCTTATCGTTCTACCCTCTCTACTTCTTTGATCGGATGTGGATATTCAAACGCGGCAACATACATAGGTATGTTCCAATAGCATTACAGAACCGTTTTGAATGTATCTGCACATGAGCAGTAAGATTTAACTATTCTATTTTTCATACTACTCATGCGCAGATAAATTCCGAATGGTTCTGTACTGCTGATGGAACAAACCTTATACTAACTTAATTAAAAAATATATCGAATTCAATACTCGAAAATAAATATCGATTATCGATTAATGAAGAATAAAAAATATCGACGATATTTATCGAAATTTTTTTAAAAAAATATCGATATTTTGATATATCGATTATTTTTACCCATCCCTACATTATATGTTTATCTGTTGATTAATAACAAGTTCTGTGAATAACAATAACACTTACAATGGTATTTATCGTGCCAGATACTTTTCTAGAAAATTACACCTGTAGTGTGTGTTATAAATATTTGTCGGTGATACCAGTTAAAATATGTCGCAAAAAAAATATATGTGGTAGATGTGTAAAAAATGAAAGTAGTGAGACAGATTCAATGTATAACAAAATTGCCGTTGGAGCACTTTTCAAATGTGTAAATCAATATGACGGGTGTAGAAGTATTCTACCAGTTAATCAAGTAGAAGCTCATGAAAAAATATGTAAAAGTAAGGTACATGTATGTCCATTGTGCCCAGAAGCAGTAAATCTTGAAACGTACCTGTTTATTCAACACTTTAGACGGTATCATAAAAATCATATTTTAGAAAAATGTTATTTTGAACTGGAAATGGATAACTCGTTGTATCAGCATCAAATTTACCTCTACAAATCAAAAAACAACTTATTTTTTGTAAAAGTTCAGATAAAATCAGCCACATTGACGTTTACTATATCTGCATTGAGAGATGAAAATTTGGAAGAGATTTATCAAAGATTTCGTATAATTTGTGTAGATTCAATTATCGAAACAAATAAAAAGTTAGTACTGTCAGTTACTAAATCAGAAGGTAATTCTTTTATTATTTCGAGATCTCTTTTTATAAAAGGAAAATTACATGTGCTATTCGAATTGGAATCCAGTGGCGTAACGAAAGTAATTGAAGAATCAGGTGAACCCAGTACTTTAAAGAAAAACAATTCTGTTATTAAAATAGATAGAAAAGTAGCTTATAAACTACAAATCAGTAAGTCTGAAGTAAATATAAGAGGAAAAATATTTGTACCGTTTTGTTTTGTTTGTTCAGATGTGATATGTATCGATGATGAAAATGATCTTAATTACATTATGTTAAAAGATAGATATATCTATGTTTGTCTACATTGCCTGCTTTACATAAAACGCATTAAATCGTTAGACTATTGGATTGATTCTGAAGATAGTTTTACTACCAGTTGTTCTAGGATATTGTATTATTGTCAATGGGAATGTGGAACTGCTTGCTATAGCGAAGAACTTTTATTTCATGAAATAAATTGTATTAATCAACCAACAAGAAAGTGCCCTTTTAATGATTGTGATTTTATGGGTAAATTAAATGACATAGAAAGGCATTTTGATTCAACTCACAAAACAAATGAAAATGACATTTATGTATATACAAGCTTTGTTCTTATTTTACCAAACGTAGAAATGTACGTCTGGTTGAAGGGGTATTTTGTTATTATTAAATTTACATTTAGTACTGACTTTTTTAATTTAAAAATAGATTATAGAGGACTACCAAAGCAAATGACATTAGTAATTGTGTTGGAAAGTGGTCGCGGTTACTATGTAAGTGGTCCTAATGGAACAACTTTGAGGTTAAATTTAAGCGAATATGATTACGATGATATACTAAACGGTTATGCTAAAATAATTATTAGAGAGGAAACTGATAATTTTGATAATTGTATTTAGTGCTCTAACAAGTATAAGAGCAATTTTGTTTTTTTTTTGTATAGGGTTACCAGATTCAAAAATACAAACTCCTGACATTCCTTACGAAAATTCCGGACATTTCTTTAAAACTCAGAAATATTTACTAAACGTTTTATTTAAAAAAGTACCTATCGTTAAAAACTAAAAACAAAAACAGTTCAATTAAAAATTTGTGAAATTAAACATTAAACATTATTTAATATAAAGGCCATACACAAGACAACAACAACAACAACAACCGTCTATTAAAGAATATATACATAAAAAATAAATTATGAAAATATAAAAGAGAAGTTAGATTCAGTTTCAACGGCTAATAGAACTGTTTATACGGGATTTTAAGTATAGCTTAATACGTTTGATGATTTTCTTGAAAATTCCGTACAATTTATAATTCCCGGCACATTCCGGACAAAGCGCCAACATTCCGGATATGTCTGGACTTTTCCTGGCATCTGTTAACCCTGGTTAGGTATAATTTTGTCACGATTTCTAAAGGTTATTATTTAAATAATAAATTTACTTTACGTTTATATTTTTTATTAATGATACGTGTACTTAGAAATAAGTTTTGTTAATAATAGTATTTAAGCAAAATAATATAATTTTTTTTTCTTGTACTATTTTTAATAAAAATTAGCAAACTACTTTCTGTGATTTTAATTCATCATTATGACTTGTGCTCTGCTTGGGTGGTATACCTACTCGTAAAAAGGTAATTTGCAATAATATGCCAATCATTAAAGATAATCAATTCACATTAATTACAAAAGTTTTCAAACTTTATTAAATTGAAATAATTATAAATTTAATTTTGAAACTTTTTCTGAGATCCGGAACGTATTAATAATTAAAATTATAATTTTCTAAAAAGATTTTTCGTATTTTATATAAGACACTCTTGGGTTACTATATCCACATTACAACCTTTTGTATTTCAAACATTTTTAATACTTATATCTACATAATTTATTCATGCTCGCCTTATGTTAACATTTTTAAATGAAGTCAATTTACATGTACTATTTTTTACAAAAAGGTACATCAGGTCATGACAGGGCTAGGAAACTGATTTGGAACGTTTCTGCCAAAAGGTCTAGACTGATGCCAATGCGATATGTTCACACCTTTTTTCTTTTTGTTTCTTTTTTTGATGTATAATTTTTTTTTTACTATTCTATTAATATGCTTAAAATATTTACCATTCCTTATGAAACACCCTGTATATGCTTATTTTTTATATATCTCAGTTCCATATATTATGCAAATTATTAATAAAGACACAATTAATTTTTTTAACTAGAAATATTTCACAAATTTTCTCAAATCACAGATAGGAGATGCTATTTTTACATCTTACACTGTTGCCAAGTCGCAAAAAAGTTCAGGGTAAGGGTGGGCAAAGTGGCCACGCTAAGGAAAAATATTTTTTTTCGAAAAGAAAATATTGAAAATAGCAAATGAAACTTTGACATTAGTTAGTTTGGTTATTTAGCTATAAGCAAAAAAAAATGTTGGCTTAATTAAATTTTCTTAATGAGATAACGTAACTAACCCCCAACCCTACCAAATGGCCACTTTGTCCGAAGGGGTAGAGCAAAATGGCCACTGAGTAGCCACTTTGCCCGATATAAAAAACTATAATGTTATCTGTTGCCATTTTATTAATTATTTATCTGCAGATGTCACAAATAAACTCATTATCTTCTTCCTCGCACCCAGCACAAGCCTCGTGTGCCCAGAGTTGACAACTTGCCCAGACAGCACACCAAATCCTTTGGATATCTACTGAACATCCCAATATCCACTGAATGTCCAGTCCATGGTAGATATCTATTTTATATCCATGAAATGTAATTTATAGACATGCAAATGTCCATAAATTATTAAAAAATTACGCCATTGAGCTCGCCATTGTGGCTAATAGTACCGTTCAGATATTTAAAATTAATTTTTTTAAGGTGTATTCAATATCCCATGAACATCCACTAAATATATCAAAGTCTAGGCGCGAACGCAAACCATCGTGGATATCCACTAGATGTTATTTGATTCTGCTTACTAAATATAGATGGCGATACCACTATCGCATCTACTCATGCTCGACCCGCCGTAATTGAGTTCGATCGAAATATGTGTGTCCTAATCACTCCATTAGAGACTGGAGTCGAGAATTTTCATTTATTGCTGAAGAGTCCTAATAAGGATGACTTTCTCCTTAGTGGGCAAAATCAAAGGCAGAGTGTTGAAAATATTTTGAGTGTTGAAAATATATTTTATCTCTGCTATTTTCTTTCGACGTTATTCAATAATCATTGGTTACTTATGAACCCCTACTAAAGATACCAATAAAATATTTTGCTGAATATCCGAATATCTTCTATATCCTGGGATATAGACGGACATTTGGTTGGATATCCATATTGGATATATTGAATATCCACAAAATATATTATGTGGATATCTCTGTGATTTCTTGTATTTTCTGGAAGATACCCATTAGATATTTTGCTGAGTATCCATTAGGATATCTTCTATGGGTGATTCTCGGATAACTGTGATTTTTTATGTCCAGTGTTTTATTTATCGTTTAGCATAAGTTTTCTTCATCAAAAAGTTATTAATATTATAAATTTAGAGGTATTTTACAACAGACATTATGAATTAGATCATAAACCTTCGTAATTTTTTTTAAGCTGCATATAAATATACTCGAAATGTTAGTACCGTGGCATGTCCGATTCTCATTTTTGAAATTAAATATATAAATTTCTATCAAAATTCATTTTCTAATATAAAATTTACCTCTTATAACTACAATCCAATGCATATTGCATTGAATTTTATTGCAATTTTATACCAATCGTGCGATTGGTAAAAAAAAATAATCATTTATATGTCAATACCGTGGAAATAATGTCAGTACCGTGGCATTAAAAATTTTAAATTTTGTCACAATTTTCGTTGTGTCATAGCTGTAGTAGAACCACTTTGTAGGCTTTATTCTGTGCATAAATAGAAAACAAAAACGCGTAAAACATACGTTTTAAAACATTTTTAACTTTAGAAAAATGTAAGTTGTAAAAATCACAGTTACACGAGAATCACCCCTATATCCTGGATATAGACGGACATTTGGATATCCATATTAGATCCACGGAATATTTCTGACATCCTGTGGATATATTGGATATCCACAAAAGATATTCTGCGGATATCTCTGGGATTTGGTGTGTCGTCTGGGTGAGCACTTGATCCATCCTTCTCTTTCCCTTGACTTAGAAAAATACTCCCCACAAAATAAGCATTCAGTGTCACTGTGGTCACTGTCATCGGAATCCTCAAACAAAATACGTTTAGTTGATTTCGATTTGTTTTTCCCTGCAAGTTCTCTCTTTTTTGCTTCTTCCTTCTTCTCGTTTTTTAATTCTAGTTTGATTTTCTTTTGTCTTTCTTTTTCTTCTCTTTCTTCCTTCGCTGCTTCAAGTTCATTCTTGTATGGGCTTGATGTCAAAATGGCCGAGGTTCCTTTTTTCCGGATACTTTTTCTTTTGGTAATGTTTGTCTTAGGGATTGGTAGAATATCTTTAGGACTTACTGCAAATGAGGATGAACTACTAGGCAAGGCGTGTTTGTTTCTCGCAGATGAAATACTTGGAGTGGAGAGCAGGTTTACAGCACATGATATACTGGGCTTGATGAGTGTGCTTTCAGCTGACGAGGTGACCTGTCTTGATGAATTTCCATGGATGAGAAAAAATGCACTGTTGGGATCTCCGGAACCTACAGTGATATTTGCCTTGTTGCTACCATAAAATGATACTACAGAAATCGAATTCTTGGGTTGAGGATCTGCAGATCTGCCGTCAGTCTTATCAGAATTGGTTTTATCTTGGTCTGAATCCTGTGACTCACAATTAACATCAGCTGGTGGGACTTCAGCTAAGGAGTCCTCTTGGTCCGAATTCTGTGACTCACGATTAACATCAGCTGGTGGGACTTCGGCCAAGGGATTGGAGATATCTGTGGTCGCTGCTGGAGCGAATTCGTCTTCAGAAAACTCATTTCTGTTGATTGGAACTATACCACATCTCCGAAATCCTTTTACAGCAATGGTCGGAGTAGCTGCATTCAAAAAAGCTTCCCCAAGAAGGCGGGACACTTGATATTGTGTTACAACCCTACCAGGATTATTTCGCAAGAATCTCTCCACTGCTTGAACATAATAAGTGTTCAGTGGCCCCATAAAAGATACATCCAGTGGCTGCAACTTATGAGTGCAATGTGGTGGAAGGCAAACTACAGTGGTGCAAGTGTCCCTAGCCTTTACAATGAAATCAAGGTTTTTTGTGTGTGTAGCGTGTCCATCCAGTATTAGCAATACTGGGTCTTCTCTCGATGGTTTGGCATACTTCAGGAAATGTTCAAACCATTGAATAAATATCTCACTCTGCATCCACCCTGAGGGGTGGCAACAAAATGTCGTCCCAGGTGGAGCACCATCTTTAAGTTCTTCTTTCATCCGCTGTCTCGGAAATATGACAAAAGGAGGGATAAAATTTCCTCCCGCTGACATACAAACTACAGATGTAGAAAGAGTTCCTCTTTCGGCAGATGTAAGGGAGCCAACTTGCCGTCTAACTTTTAGTGCAAAATCTTTTGAGGATTTTTCCAAAAAAACGAATCTCCATGTCCAAAAGGTAATTTACAAGCTCCTGTTCTTGTTCTTCAGTGAAAACAGCACGATAACGACCTAGGCATTTTTTGTTAGAAGTAGCTTGCTGGTTTTTCTCTACAACACGTCTTTTTAGGGTGTTCCTCGGCACGTTAAATTGTTTGGCAGCAGTTAGCCACGCCATATTATCATTTTTTACTGCATCTATAGCTAGTTGCATAGCCTTCGGGTAACAGGACTGCTGCTGGCTCTTCCTTTGGTATTTGGGCTCCATAACTGAGTCTGAAATCAAAATAAAATATGTTGATGCTAAAAAAAGCGATACCATAAATACCAAAGTATGATTTGACTAATTAGGATTAAATTAAACGACGTTTTTTTATCGCTAAAATATTTACCATTTCTTATGAGACATTAATGTACAAAATCTATAAATATTTTTATTTATTAATATTCTCCATAAAAAAAAGCAAAAGATTTTATTTCGGGTAAAGTGGCCACCATCGTGTCCGCTTTGCCCTCTTTGACGCCATTAGATACAACTGATCCTACAGGACAACCAACTAACCTTACTTAGTACTTCGATCACACTTTTATAGCCTAAATCGTGTTCTTTTAAGTGATTAAAGTGAATCGTATGTTATTTGGAATTTGTACATCAGCACCTTGAAAAACACGAAAAACTTTAATTACTTTTGATCAAGTGAACTAAACAACACCAAACGTCGGTATGATAATGATGACGAACTATTTAAGTAGACGAGGCATTTGCCGCTTCGTGGCAGCACCGTAAGATGAGAAAGTAGTCAGTGGCCACTTTACCCGCGATGGCCACTTTGCCCACCCTTCCCCTACTATTACAATTATTTAGTATCAAAAGTACAGCAATTCATTTGTAATAAATTTCCTTGATCCAACAATATCTTATAATATTATAACTATTTACGTTGTTTTGCCCACCCAGCATCCCTATTCGTAAAATTGATAAAATTATTAAAAATGGCATATAATTTTATTTAA